CATTCCTGGTCTGTTGAAGCAGTAAATCTCTGGCCTTTTTTTTGTAAGATATTTTGGTTACAATTCTTAAAGGACGTTGCCCTCCTGTCAAAAGCTTTTGCTCTAAATAAGCCATATATTATGCTTGACCTTACAATATTTTTTTTTCTTTAACGTTTAGAAGTTGCTATCAAGCTAGCAGAGGCAACAAACACTTTTTCTTGCGCTGAGGGACTGTCCTGATGTGCAAGACAGGGAAAGACTCTGAAAGAGTGCAATGATTGCATGTTACTAATCAGATGTTCTGACAAAAAAAACAAAAAAAAACAAAAAAAAACAAAAAAAACCCAACCCAACAAACTATTGTTGCCAAAGAAAAACCAACGCTCTAGGGGTGGGGAGACCTATATTAAAGAAAGGAAATAAGAAAAGGACAGCTCTTTGTCTCCGCATAGAGCAAGACATAACTGGGTACCTGTGTTGTGTGAGAAGCAGGAGGTTGCTGGGTGCTAAACATGAACCACTGAAAGAAAATTGAATGAAGCTCCACCTTTCAGGGACTCTGCCATCAATGTTTTGTTCTCACGCCAAATTCCTGGACTATAAAAATCTGCCTATAAGCCAAGAAAAAAACACTTCCCTGGAAAGATTTTCAACTTACCGCTTCATGGCAAGATGGAAATAAAAAAGGGGAGGTCATTTTGGATCTTCTGCCTAATTTGGAGTTGTTGCAAGGGCAAAGAACCAGTTCAGATAGGTAAGAAAAAAATCTAATTCTCAGATTATTTGCTCACATACTGCTCTCCATAGGTGACAAATAGAGTTGTCAAATGAGAATGTGTAACATATTCATGTAAGAGCTGTAGGCATGCCAGATACTGTTTGACATTGTACATTTTCAGCCTTAATGTCACCCATTAAAGTATTTTACTTTTTTTCTTTCACTACTAGGTAGTTTATCAACTGTTTGGTGTCCTAAGTGACTAATCTTAAAGAGGAGACTCTGTGGATGCAGTTTGCATCATAAAAACGTTGGTGACACCTTTTTCAACACTTTTCACATATAATCTTTATAGAAGTATGTTACCACAGTGCCTGCTAGGCTTGGTTGGCCGGTATGAAATACTGCATTAAGAGTAATCACATTTTTTGTGGTCTGCTGCACTGTTGCCTCCTGGTTTGGTTTTGAATGTCTTACGCTTTTCCCAGTTGCTTAGTACACAAACAATTGATGTGGCAGTTATTGCTGTCATAGTAATTCCAGCAACTCCACTCACAAGAATAACCAAACTTTCTCCTTTCCCCTCACTATTGTGTAGAAAAGTGCTGAATTACCCTTCTCCACTTGAGTGCTGCAAACATCTATGGCAGATTACAGTCCCTTTAAAAAGCTGTTTCTCTAAGGGCTTCTTGGCACATTTCTAACACTGAGATCTGAATTTTTCAGTGTTCCTCTGCTGGTTCTCAGGTAGGAATATTAAATAATATTTTAGAGTTCACTGAGTAAACATACATAACAACAACATACATAAGCAACACAAAGGAATTTTCCCATTTTTATTTGAGATTCTTCCAGATGGGCCTTAAAGAAATGCTGCAAAGCATTTTGTAGCAAGCATATCTTATTTAATTCAAGGTGATTCATGTTGGTTTTGTGCAGCTCAGTGGTATGAAAACTACTTTCTGAGGTGATTTCTTACATGCACTTAAAGTATGTATCAATACCTTTGAGAGAGGTCTAACTCAGAGGTCCAAGACATGAGTTTTGGTTGAGATAAAACACAAGCAGCTGCTGAAACGAGCCAGCTGCTGAAGCTGGTGGCAACCTCAGCTGCTGGTCAGTGGTTGCCGTGTTGCTGCAGAGTCATGCCATCTGTAGTGTCACCTGGAAAGGAGGCAGTTCAGGACTTTGGACCAAAGTCTTACCTGTGTTAAGAAGCAGGTTTTCAGAAGTGGAAATGAGATTTAGGCAACCAGGATGGGATTCCCCTCACTTCATTTGAGATACCGACAGTGTAAATGCTGAGTGGTGCCATCTACATTGGCACCCCTCAGCAACCTCTACAGACAATGGAGAGAAACATGCAGTCTTTGGGCATCTCCTTCCTAGGTAGATACATAAGGTAGGGAAGCTGAACCTCTTCTGCTTCTCACCATTAACTCCAAAGGGGCGTGGGCTCATCTTGCTCACATTGGAGGCATCTCTGGCATGGACTTCAAAAGTTCAGTGAGATGAAACTCCTTCCCACAGGCTAGTATCTTCCACAGGTTAACATGTTTTGTCTTTGAAAACCTCTCCTTTAATGTTTTTCAACAACAAAAAAAAAAAAAAAAAAGCAAAGCACCTCATGTGGGGTGGATTTCTAAGCTCCACTCCTATGACTTTTTCTTTAGTCCAGGTCTCTACTGTCAGTAGGAGTGAATGTGCCACCTGGGGCAACTTCCACTTCCATACATTTGACCATGTTAAGTTCACTTTTCCTGGAACCTGCACATACGTCTTTGCTTCACACTGCAATGACAGCTACCAGGACTTCAACATCCAGATCAGGCGCAGTGCCACCAACAGCTTCCTGATCTACTTCACCGCCACCATCGATGGAGTGATCCTGGAGGTGAAGGAGACAGGCATCACGGTGAACGGGAACAAGTGAGTAAAGACCATACTGTGGTTTTTATTGTGCAGAAATTCTATTGCTATGTAGTAGCAACAGGTGGTCTGTGTAGAAAATGGTCCTGTTCTGCAGAGGTGCTAATGGCTGTGTATGTGTTCATGGCACTTTGAATTGCAAAGAGTCCACCCCGTAGTGGTGGAGGAGGCAAGAAGCATGGAAACTTATATAAATTTGTAGAAGGTTTTGAGTTTGCAGAAACTGTATTTTTTTTTCTTTGTTCTATGTTGCTGTTCAAGAACAGATGGTCCTTTTATAAAAAGCTTTCTGTTTCCAGAGAGATAAGTCTAGAAGATTCCACTGCTTTACAGATCACAGCTTGCCTTGGGATCTTCTTACAAGATAGAAGTTTCAGAAGTCAAAATACACACCTTTAATTCCCATCTGAAATGAACCAGAAAGCAAACTGCAAACAGAAGGGTAAAAACACTTCATAAGTCAAAAGTCATACACAACAGTAGCTGAAATTTGGGCACAATTTTAAGCGCAGTCCTCATGAGATGTGCAGTGATGGGCTCTCAGCATATAGCTATGAAGGACCAAGGCAAGCTTTGACTCTGGGAAAAGCCCTCAGTATCTTCTTGGAGAGAAAATTGCAAGCATATGGGCTGTCTTCTCTTGACAGCCTTCTAGAAACAACCAAATATAGGATAGCATCACTGAGCTGTAATTATAGTAGCAAAGCCCAGATATATCTTTAAATCAAAGGGGCAAGAAATCTCCTATCTTTTAGACATTTTCTGATTTTCTAAGTTTTTCAGGCTTTGTGAAAATGAACAGTAATAGTCTTGGTGAGATGAAAAAGTAATCTGGGTCTGAGTCATGTCAGTACTTAAGTAACAGAACAGATCTCTTTTCACACCTCTGTGACTCCCAAATGTCAAGGAAAGCCTGGAAGGATGATGAGAACTTGCGGTATCCTCATGTGGAGGGCCATTTTCCCAGTGTTGTGAACTTGCTCCTTATAACCTCTTGGGCTAGGTCCTCAGGATACATACACAAGCAGAGCTGCATTGGTGTCAGGAGAGTGGCTAATGTACTGTTGACACACTCGTGACCCAAATACATTGTGTTGTGCATTAAGGTTGGCAAAAGGTCACAGAGGACGAGGTGATCATACCTAAATGTAATGCATTGTGTGGATGACAGCTGACCTTGAAAAGAATGTCCCCACAGCTTATTTAGCTCCTTTTGACTCTAGTTTTTTTTTTTTTCCCCCCTTTTTTTTTTCTTTCCCCTCTGTCTCGGAGAGGATTTAATCAGTCTTTTTTCAATGCAATCTGTTTTGTTCCCTCTGATTTCCAGGATCCCCCTGCCCTTCAGCTTGAAGAGCATCCTGATTGAGGACACGTGTGCCTACTTCCAAGTCACTTCCAAGCTGGGCCTGACACTCAAGTGGAACTGGGCTGACACTCTCCTAGTATGAAGAGCCAGTTAGTTATTTTTCTCTTGGTGAACCTCCTCAATGACGAAAAGCAGAGCTGGAGGCAGGCGCTGTGTTGATACAAGAGGTTGTGGGGAGGAGGTATCGCTGTCTCCATAAGCTGATAGGGATGTACCAAACTGGGTAATAGTTTCATGGGGCATGGAGTCACAACCCCCAGGTGTTCCCAGTTAATTTTATGTGACTAAAGGTGCCACTGTCAACCCTGGAGATAGCAGCTCTGTGGTTATCTTCCTCCATGGGGCGCTGGCAGCAGCACAGCTGGTCCCTCCAGCTCTGACTTGCTTGTTACCCTCTGTCTCAATGCACATCTTGTGTGGGAAACCAATCTGTGTGGCCTTGGCCTCTCTCATTCCAAAGCCTTGCTATGCGGGAGTTCCCCTCTACACATCCACCCCAAAATATCCTCTTCTGCAACAATGTGTTTACACTTCTGGGTGTGAACACTTATCCTCCATGGTCAGGACTGAGATTAAAGAAATGAAGGTCGTATGGCATCTTTTGCAGTTCAGTGAGACAGAGTAGAAGGTGAATAGAGAGGGGAAAAAATCAGGAAGCAATCAAATTATATTCTAATTCTGATTAATGAAGTATTTGCTTCCCCCCTTCCTCTGTACTAATTAATACCTGAAGGTACAGGCACCACCTGTAGAGTGGACACAATTTTGAAGAAAAAGCACCACCTATTTTTGGTGGACCTGGGTGATGTCAGTACTACCCTCCAAGCATGTAGGAGTGATGGGGTGCAATAGCTTTATCTAGCAAGGCAATAACGTGCTAACCTGGCTCTTCATTGCCCTCAGATATAGGCAGAACAACTTACACTGGGAAGACCCACCCCTAGAAATGCAATGAAGTTTTCAGTTTAGCCTATGGACTAGAAAAAGCATGAGATATGTCTAAAAGCTGACCAGAACCTGCCACCTTACAGCATCCAGTGTCAGAGCACAGCTATCTGACCTGCCCGGAGTGGGGCTGTCTACCTTGCAAGAGGTACCACGTGTCTATACACCAGTGACTCTATGCTGGGAGACACTGGTCCAAGGATTAGTCCAGTATTCAGCATGCTGCAGTTAGCTCTTTAGTAGGTAGGAATGACAATTGCTAGAGGATTATCTCACCATTTAAATTCAGCCTGTCTGCAGGTATGTTTTATGGCAGGTTTGTAACAGAAAAGGAGGCAGCTACAAACTGATAAATGAGCGTTTCTGCTGCTGTGCTTTTCTATCGTGAACCGCTTTGTGACATGTGCTGCTGATGTGGCAAAAAGCCTTTAAACTCTGGGTTTGCTCTTTCCTTTTGTTTTGTAGCTGGACCTGGAAGAAACATATAAAGGGAAAGTATGTGGTCTGTGTGGGAACTATGATGGCAAGGAGAAGAATGATTTGATTTTGGACGGTAGGCCATGAATACAGCATATTCCACATAGAACTGTTAATATGTGACGTGTTTCCTCTAAGCAGGCTTTCAGGTCTCCTGACACTCTGAAATACACAAACGTTTCATTTACAGGAGAAGTATTTCAAGAGGTTCTGGGATGATTTGGGTTTCTCTGCTGTTTGCAAACTTGCAAGAGTCGCAAACCTCTTTAACTCAAATTAATTGCATGGTGTGATTATTTTTGCCTCTGTAATGAAATGAAAGTGTCATTGCAAAGCCAGAGAGATTTCACTGAGCGTCTTTGCAGAACCCGTGATGCCATCCACTGACACCTTCAGATATTGCACTCAACTGGAGAGAGGCCAACACAGCAAACAGCTGAGGCTACAACCCTGCAGCAGGTTGTATGAGTGGAAAAAAACTTGCAGCCTGGGATATTAGCTGCAGGACTGAAGCTGAAGTTATAACATCCCTTTGTGTAGTATCTAGTCTTCTTAAATCACCAGAAAAAATATTGTCATCTATCTCACCCATTCAGAAAGAATCTTGAGATTTGATTAGAAGTACCACTTGTAGTGATAGATTTGGGGTTCGTTTTCATGTTTCATATTAAGCTTTTTGGATGCATCTCAGTCATGTTTCTACCCTTCTCAAACACAATAGGTAAAAACTAAACCTGGCTCAAATTTTTCTGAAGAAACAGTTTGCTACTGGGAAGCACTGCTTCTCAGAAAAAAACAGGCTCTTCCTTTATGCATCTGGTTGCACAGATAACAAATTCCCACACCCAGGGACCAGGTGGCCTCCCACATCCCTCCTCTCTGCTCTGAACACATCCTTCTCCCTCGGTGGCCCCCAGCCAGTCTGCCTGCCCACGATAAGATCCACTGCATGTCAAGGTCCAAAATTTCTTTTCACTTTCAGACTCTTTTCTCTTGAGGAAAAAAATTACCAGGAAGAAAAATCCCATTTCTGCATTGAGAAGCTCTTCTTGAAACTTTATACTCTTTAATGTCAGTTGAGGTCCTTGGTAAATCAGGCTCCAAGAGCTCAGGGCTTTACAAGCGCTTCTGTTTCCAGAAAAGTTAGTGGTAAAGCACCTGAAAACAATGCTTTTGTGGGAGTTATTCTCTTAGGCCTGTGCTTAGTTAAGGGACTGATCCAGTACAGGAGAAGAGACCTGGCCAGAAATCTGTCTAGTAAAGCTTTTTTTTAAAAAAAAAAAAAAGTCCAAAACCTCATAGAATGGCAATTTATGCATATTCTCCATAAAAATCTGCACATTTCAAACTTTGTCAGAAAGATTTCTCACACCCAGGATCAAGTTTCTGGTAATGCTTTGGGAGGATGCACCCCTCTAGCTAGTGTAATGGTTACATACGTGTGTTGTGTGCTTGTCTTGCTCCTGCTCCTGCTCCCGTCTTCTTTAGCCTGTCAAAAGTAATAGATTTCCAGATGATTACAAACATATGCACCTAAGGCTGTACTTTACATTGCCATAGTAGAAGGTAAGCTAAAATGTATGACTGTTACGCATGCAAATACAAAACCCTGTAAGATTAAATACACCCATACTGAACAGAAGTCTTTGGAGGTGACGAGGTGCAATAGAAAGGTCAAGAGTTTGGTGTGATTGTACATGCCCGGACTGACCGCAGTCCTTGATACAACCGTGCCAGATTCCTGGCTCTAGCTCAGAAGTTCTATCAGGCTGTCATCCTCTACAATATGGATGCTGTGGTTAATTCTGGGCTTTCGGTGAAGAGCATACTGCCTCAGAGCCCAAAGATTAAGTGCATCCTTATAGCCCATTAACTGATTGAAAGAATTGCAGAGAGTTATTCAGATGCGTCTGGGGATTTTGCAGGGTATAAAATGCATCCAAGGCAGTTTGGGAACTTCCACAAAGTAGAGGATCCATCAGAAAAGTGTGCTGATGTGAGTCCAGATGATCACACTGGAAGACATCCTAGGAGGGACGATGACAGATGCAGTAAATATGTAAGTATGTGTGGCCAAGAAGTATAGAACCTCCTGATCTACAGCCCTGGAGAGACTGTGTTGAAACAAGTGTTAATTACAGAGTGTGCACTGAATTGAATATTTTAGGAGTCTACCCATGAATCTGAGCAAAAGGTTGATCTTATAGCTGAAAGAATATCCTATTATAGTGTTAAAGAAGGAGATAGTGGGAAAATGCACAACTGAGTGATAGTTTCCAGTCCAAGAAAAAGGGCCTCGTGACAGAAAGTCAGACTGGATAATCTCCTGAGGTCCCTTCCAACCTAAATTATCTATCCTGTGACCCTGGAATTGTGTCATCAAAAATTGGTATGCACACCCATGAACCTGAAAGTTGGTAAAATGTCAAGTCTTGCTTTTCTTTTCCTTTTTTACAGAAAAAAAAATGCAAGAAACTTATGTCCCATTTTGGAAACTGCCACAAAGTGGTTGACTTTGATGCCTATGTAGAGACCTGTGCTGCGGATATGTGCCACTGTGCTGTTGATTCTTCTCACTCGGATTTGGTTCCTAGCTGCATATGCAGCACTCTAAACCAGTACTCTCGAGACTGTGTCCTCAGGAAGGGAGACCCTGGGGGATGGAGAACTAAAGAGCTTTGCTGTAAGTATTTAGGCTGGATATTGGGAAAAATTTCTTCACTGAAATAGTGGTCAGACATTGGACATTGGAACAGGCTACCCAGGGAGGTGGTTGAGTCACCATCCCTGGAGGTGTTCAAGAAACATGTAGATGTGGTGCTTCGAGACATGGGTTAGTGGGTTAGGTGGTGTTGGGTTGGACTTGATGATCCTTGAGGTCTTTTCCAACCTTAATGATTCTATGATTCTAAGTACTTACAGCACTGGAGATTTCTTTCAGGTTAAACACGTCTGCATGTATTCTTATCTGAGCAGAGCAAACCTAGGAGCTCTGTTAACTCCTGTGAATAAATCTGTAGAAGTCCTTTGATAGCAACATTGTTAATGGAAAATCTTCCACAAATTTAACTTGATTTTGCTCGTTAAATTAGATCTACATCTTAATATTATCCCCCTCCTCCTCATGGCAAAGTTTTCTCTACTTCTTTTATTGTATTTTACCGTGCACGGTTAACTCATAAATAGCCTTGTTTTAAATATTGGTATCTAGTCAGAAGAAGTCACTGAGAAGTCCAGTGTGTTTGTCCGTAGCCTGTCCTGTGCTTTCATACTCAATAGTCGCAGCTACTGAGCAGGAAATCACTGTAAATCTGGGGGGAAGGCTACAGGTAGTTTTCTCAAGCTGCTGGTGTGGAACAGGATAGAAAATTAATGCCAGAATGGCTGATGCTTCAGGCAAAGATAAACTATTATGACTCCACAAATGATTCCAGTGTCCTTTGCTTGTATCATGACTTCAGCCAACCTTGAGCTAGTAAAATGATGTAAAAGAACTCATATTTCCCAGAAGTACTGTTTTCTCCAAAGATAAAGTAAAAGTGACTGTAAAAATTCTTTTAGAAGTTAAACAAACATGACATACCTGGATAGAAAGTTTTGCAAACAAGATATGGGGGCAAGGAGGAAGAAGGAGTTGCGTAGTGATGCAATGATTTGAGAACTCTTATAAATAAATCATTAACATAAGTAATTTTCATTTGGTCTGGTAGATCAGGAATGTCCAAATAACATGGAGTACATGGAATGTGGAAACTCCTGTGCTGACACATGTGCTGACCCAGAAAGGAGCAAGATTTGTAAAGCCCCGTGTACGGATGGCTGTTTCTGTCCTCCCGGTAAGGCAGCCCACTGCTTCCAATGGGTCGCACACATCAAGGGACAAGGTTGTTCCCTTTCAGTTAGTGGAAATTTTTTTTTTCTTTAACATTTTACACTAAAACCAATGAATGAACTGTTTCTTATAGCATAATTTAATAACTTTCTTCTTGGAAGAACCAGATCTCTAAAGATTCAAGATCCTGACACTGGAGGAAAGGAGAGACAGATTTCTAAGGACTAGACAAAAAAAAATAATACAGACATGGAAAGAGGAGAGGTATTCTCTAGACAGTAAGAATGCAGGTGAAGATGTCTGGTGAGGTGCCTCCCTGTCAATGAGGCTAGATCTTGCTGTAGCTTAAGCCACATGTGATATAAATGCATTGCCAGGTATGTGCATGTGTAAGTTTGCACATGAAGTAGAGGCTAAAATGAGAGTCTGATTTCTGTTAGATTCACTATTAGAAAAGGATGGAGAATGGCTCACGTCCTTGCAATCTGCTGCTGGGTAATCCTGTCCACGGTGACAGATTCCAGTAACGTGCAGGGTTATTCTTTGTGTTTTGCGTTGCTTTCATTTGAGCATCCATTAACACCCAAAAGGGTGTGGTGTGGTGTTTCCTTAAAGCATATAACATTCCTTTAGAGAAATGCTGAATACTCCAGAGCTTTTCCTTACTCTAATCTTCTTTGATGGTGTTTCACAGCCTCACCAAAGGAATATTAACTAGCCAATGTGTCTGAACAGGAACTATCTTTGATGACCTCGGTGGCAAAAAATGCATCCCCCGAGACAGCTGCCCCTGCATGTTTCAAGGCAAAGTCTACACATCTGGAGGGACTTACTCCACTCCCTGCCAAAACTGGTACTGTTGTGAACTTGACTGCACTAACAAGGCAGAGGCATTTATTTCAGAGCACTGATGAGTTGTGTTCTCTTCTTTTCTCCTTTTCCCCCCCCTATTCCTAGCATTTGTCTTAAATAATAGTGCAAAACCTGGGTCTGAATTTCAGCAGTACAGGACAACTCAGAGGTAGTCCTCAGACTCATATAGTTACTGCTGTCACTTGGAACCGCCAGCAAAAACTGAGCCCAAGATTTCAGCATGCAGAAAAATGAGACTCTTTGGTGGTTAGTTCAGAGGCATTGGCCACTGAAGTGAGGCAAGGAGCCCTACCACGTTAAGGAGTTACATTTCTAACCACCTCGAGATCTACAAAAGGCTGTTTCAATGCCTGGATCTCAAAAGTCCTGATCCTTGAGAATGATTTGATTTAAAAAACCCTGTGGCTTGAACCCTGCACTAGTGACAGGTGATAACACCGCAGGTATATTATTCTCAGAACAGTTTTATTTCCTTTCCAGTTCTTTTGGATTCTGGCTTCTCCATTTTCTTTAGAGGTAGATGGCTAAAAATGATCCTTGTCACCTTTCCTTCTCTTTTTCATGACTCCAGACCTTTTACTCTGATATCCACCTAGTGAATGAGCAGTCATGTGTGTTATTTGAGCTCCTGTGACGCAGCATCATTTCTTGACTATAGGCCTAACCTTCGCTGTGGGAAGGAATGAAATACGCTGTGGTGCATGGTGGGGTAGGCCAGATGTTCTGCAAATCCCTTTGGGTCATGTATTCCTCAAAACCTGCAATTTTGAGGAACTGAGCTTGATGGGCTCTGGGTGGTGGTTCCCATCTAACCACATCCTCACTGACTCTTCACAAAGCCTGAGCTGATGTGACCAGGCTGTCGTCCCCTTGTGTGCACAGCTCCAAGAATGGTAACTGCTCATTATCTCAGGTCCTCCACAATTAGTTGCTGAAATGTTGCATCAGCAGCTTGCTGAACGGTTGCATCAGTAGGATAAAATGTTGGAAGATCCTACTTGAAGAGGTTCCTTCTTTCTTAAAAAGTCAAGTAAACAATTTAGGTCCAGAAAAACATTTCTTGTTTGACCAGCTCAGTGTCCCTCTGAAGGAGTCGCAGTCCAGTGCAGTTAACTCTCTCACTGAGAGACATTCAACCTTCACCCTTGAAGGGCCCGATAGAAAGTCTTCCCCCCACAGGGATTTAATAAGCAGATGAATAACAAGCTAAAAAGCCAAAGAGAGTGTTGTCTGTGCAGATTCAGATACAGATGTTATCTCACCCTTGCTGCTTTAAAGCGATGTTTATTCTAACTGCTCATTTTTGGGTTTGTACAGCACTTGCAAAGGAGGCCACTGGAGCTGCATCTCTCTGCCCTGTTCTGGAAGTTGCCATATAGATGGAGGATTCCATATAACAACGTTCGATAATAAGAGATTCAATTTTCACGGCAACTGCCATTATGTCTTAGCTAAGGTATGAACATTCTCCCATTTCACTCCTAAATCTCCTGAGCAGCATGAGGGATTAAGCTGTGCTGGAGCTTTATATGACTTAATTTAATTAAATGGCACCAATCCAGCAAAGCACTTCAACACATGCTCAGTCTTAAACCCCATAAATTTTCCCATTTGCAATGGATTGCTAAGCTTGATGCTTAGCATCCAAGTTTCACAGCTTCAACATAGTTGTACGTCTCTCTTTTTTAAATGAATTAATTTTCTTATTGGAAGTGTTAGTGTAGTTTTAAGCATTTCTCCTGAAGATTTCTTCATGTCTGACTGTCAAAAGGAAGCGGATGAGCAAAAATTCCTGCAAAAAGATTGAATTCCACATGAGTGACTGCAAATGTGCGATCCACGCAGGTTGACAGCAAGGAAGCAGAGTGCAGAGGAAAGGCAGTGAACATTATTGATTTTGGCAGTGAAATGAAGTAATTTGCAGTTAGGGATTAAATGCCTCAGTTCTTTCATTATTCCATTTTAGCCTTTCAGAGACACCTTTTTTTCTCTTCTGGCTCTCTTCCTGTAACATGCTAACAATGTCTGCACATCCCTTTTCAGAATACTGATGACACATTTGTGGTGATTGGAGAGATCATCCAGTGTGGGACATCAAAGACAATGACTTGCTTAAAGAATGTCTTAGTCACACTAGGAAGAACTGTAAGTCACTTGCTTTACTCAGTGAGGCAGAGTATGTCACTTTTATTTAGGTTAAAGATGGGATTTGTCTAACACTCATTTTGGTCTGTTGCAGTCCTGAGACTGCAAGACTAATACCAGCAGATGATGTGGTGCCTGTGTTTAGTGGTTTTGTTCTATGGGAGTTATTTCCTTTCCAGTTCTTTAGGATTCTGGCTTCTCCATTTTCTTTAGAGGTAGATGGCTAAAAATTATCCTTGTCGACTTTCCCTCTCCTTTTCATGACTTCAAGCTTTTTCACTTGGTTCTTTTGAAAGATTCCTACAAGATCTCCACCAAAAGATCCCCTTCTTTTTACAACAGTTCTGAGTCCTGAGGTTTTTCCTAATGCAATGAGTGAAGTAGCAGAATTTTCCAAATGAACGCCAGAGGCTTCTCCTAGTGAAGATTATGCCATGATTCAAACTGAACTCAAGGGACACCGGGTTAGGGCTGGTATTTAAGCACTCCTAAAGTTATACGGATTCATTCTGTCCAGATGGTGTTTGACTGGTGCAGTCCTGACTTTGTTAGGAGATCCAACATCCCAACCTCCTTCTGTAGTCAATGAAGGAAGACAGGGATCTTCAGAGGACAAATCAGGCCGTCTCAGGTGTGAGGAGTTCTTTGGGAGAGGCCCATCTCCCTCCATTGCCTGCTGAGGGAGTTTGGGTCAGACAGCCCTCATTTTGGGTGTGTTACATTGCCAATGAGATGGATCCCAACCTCCATGTAACATCTCACATGCAGTTCTCAAAAAGATAACTAAGCTCTGAGGTATGTGAGAGCACTCAGTCAAAGCTGTTACTTATGGGGACGGTTTTCCATTTTTTGTTTTGGCCTAGAGATCTGCTCTACATTGCTGTGTGACATCCAGACACTGAGTTACACTGACCCCAGAGGGGATCATGTTTTGAAGACACTAATGCTTAATGCAGCTTGTCAGGCTGCTGTTGTCTGTCTCATGTCACAGATATTCACTACTGTGGGATTTTTCTTTTTGCCTGCAGACTATAAAAATATGTTCCTGTGGAAATATCTATATGAACAATTTCATTGTGAAGCTGCCGGTAAGCAAAGGTAAATGTCCATTCTCTGTATCTACAGAGGGGGGTTACTGCTCCTTTCGCTGAAAAGATGATCCTGCTCAATGTTAGGTCATTTAACTTAGGTGGATACCCGGTCTGGGACTCCCTGGGAATTCCAGTGTTACACTGGCTGCACTGGTAAATGGAAGTTCCTCTTTTTTCAGCTTCATAAATATTTGCAGGTGCATCCATCTTTGTTTTTCTTCTTTTCCTCTTTAGATGGCATCACCATCTTCAGGCCCTCTACATTTTTTGTCAAAATCTTGAGCTCAACGGGAGTACGGATCCGAGTGCAAATGAAACCTGTGATGCAGCTCTCCATAACAGTCGATCATTCTTACCAGAATCGCACATCCGGTAGGACACATCATGCTCTTTCCATTTGCTCTTAAACTGAGTTCTAGCTGCTTGTCTATCACTTTAAGTGAACAAATTATTTGATTTTATATTGACTTTGCTATGCTAGAACCCCTGGTTAAGTCTATAGCCTTCCTGAAATGCAGCACTGGCCAAGCCCTTCCATTTGCTGAAGAAAATTCGATAATCTCTGTGATGTTTAGTATGTGCAGGTCTTTTAGACTCTATTTGTAAAAGCAAGCCTTCATTAGAGACTTGTGAGATTCAGATTATCTTCTTGGTTTTGACACCAATTTCCTGTTTACATGATGTAAGCTTTATGTGCTTCTGTTTCCTATCTGTGCGATGGGATTACATCCTGTCTCTCCAACCTGTTTTGTTTTGCCTTTGTGGTTTCCTTTGCTTTTAAGCCTTTGGGGAAGGCACTTCTCTGTCTGCTGTGATTACTGAAGCACATTTAAGCAGCTTCCAATCCCTCTGCTATCACTAAACATTACTGTGATGCAGAAAAATAATAATTACACTCTAAAGACAGGGTCTGCCTGATTTATGGGAACATCAGGAAGTCTCCAAAGGAAAATGGATTTCTCTCAGGCGAGGTCCATTACAGAGCTGAGTGTTCATGTAGAAGCCATTCCTTTTTCCACTCATGTAGTGATTTCTTCTTTTCTTTTGGTATTTTTTTTTCCCTGCCGCCCACACAAGGTCTTTGTGGCAATTTCAATAACATCCAGACAGATGACTTCAGAACAGCCACTGGAGCTGTGGAAGATTCAGCTTCTGCTTTTGGTAACTCCTGGAAAACTAGAGCCAGCTGTTTTGATGTTGAGGACAGCTTTGAAGATCCTTGTTCAAACAGTGTGGATAAAGGTAGCAGGCTTTTCATCCCTGGATTATCAGTGCTAAACGAT